GTTATTAAATAGATGATAAAATATTTTTTAAATCTGTTAAATTTTTGTCTCAGGATTTCGCATTGTGTATCATTTGCTCGACAATGTAAGCTTATGTACAGGAAAAACAGCCCCAAAACTAGGTCTAGGTTTTTTTTACTTTTATTTTTTATTGTTTGATTACCTCACTGGGTACTAGACTTGTCACTGAATGCACAGCCCGCGGTGTAAATAAATTCTACTTACTTTTTATTTATATACCTCATTTTATGATGAAGCTGTGTCGAATAAGCAGCAATACTTATTGTCTCTATTGTTTTTTATTTGTTTTTGTGATATTACACAGTAGACCAATTGGGTTTTGCCATGCTCTTTCATAACACATCATTTGTGTCCTAATAAATAAATTATTGGTAACTTTGGTTTTAATTTGATAGACAATTTTGTTACCCTGATTGAAGAGGGTGATGTAGTTGATGAGATACCATCGTAACTACCATTTGGCCAGACAGGAGACGTTGCCCTAGACACTTTTTTAAAAACATAGGCACGTTAAACGTGCATGAGCTATTTTGAATGCTTCAGTGTAACTTTAATGCGTCGGTGTAACCTTACCAAGAGTGATGAATCTACCTCTTTCATCCTAAATGTAGATTGGGTTTTTGTACGAAATTGCGTATTGCCGTACATAAATGAAAACGCGAAACGCTCAACTGAGTCGATCCTCAAGCTATATATTCACTTTCCTCTGTCTTTTCCTGTTACATCTGATGTAAGTTAAACAAATCATTAAAGTGAAATAAATTTCTACTCACCAAACGTTAATTAGAAGGAAAACTCTAAGGTTTCCTCGGAGTTTCTTAAGCCTCATCGAATACTGAATAGTTACGAAATACCAGGATTTTTATCATTGTGGTAGATGGTTGCATCATCATAATTCACGAGGTTTTCACGTGCGATTCTACCCAGTGAAACAGTCTTTAACTCCGACAACTTATTTGTTCATGTCTTAAAAGCTATTGCTTCTCAAAAGACAAGAGCCTTTTTTAAGGCATTGGTTACAAAACGAAACAGGTCTTCATACGTCCAAGTTACTATTTAACATTGTGAAAAGCCAATCTGCATGAGATGTACAGTCACACAGCTGGCACGTGAAAGTGTTGGACTTTGCCCCCTTTCGTCGTTCGTACGTGAGGGAATTCGAGTTATCACACAGTAAACTAGTAAACAGAACTATAAAAATAACTCACGCACACAATTTACACGTGAAATGTTGGTCTTTCGCCCTTTTACAATTCGTACGTTAAAAAAAGGCAAATTCTTTACTACAAAATTTTCTCAAACGATTTTAAGAAATCACCTCGGCTTCATTATAACATCTGCAATTAAAATTATGTTTCATGCAACGTCAAGGTTGATAACCTAACATTTATTAACATTTGTGAAACAGTCTTAAACTCCGACAACTTATTTCGTCATGTTTTAAAAGCCATTGCTTCTTAAACGACAAGAGCCTTTTTTAAGGCATTGGTTACTAAACGAAACAGGTCTTCATACCTCCAAGTTACTATTATTATTGTGAAAAGCCAATCTGCATGAGATGTACAGTCACACAGCTGGCACGTGAAAGTGTTGGACTTTGCCCCCTTTCGTCGTTCGTACGTGAGGGAATTCGAGTTATCACACAGTAGTCTAGTAAACAGAATTATAAAAATAACTCATGCACACAATTTGCATGTGAAGATGTTGGTCTTTGGCCCTTTCACAATTCGTACGTAAAAAAGAGGCAAATTGTTTTACCACAAAATTTTCTCAAACGATTTTAAGAAATTACCTCGGCTTTATTACAACATCTGCAATTAAATTATGTTTCATGCAACGTCAAGGTTGATAGCCTAACATTTATTAACTTCCAAGAAAATTATCAAACTGCCGAAATATATTTCTACTTATATCATGTTACTCTACTCAATATAACAGTATCTAATTATTGTGTCGACTAGCTTCCTCCAATTTTATTCCCTAACGCAACCGTTTCTACTTAAGTTACGCATCTTTACTAAATAGAACGAAAAAGGTCGGTTGAACTTTGTAAGCGAGAGAATAATATTTTTAAAGCTTGTTTACAGGATTAACAATACTCGATACAGCTTTCAAAAAATAAGCTGCCTTTTAAACTTCTAAAACCACTCTTTATAGGGCGCATACTTTCGAATTAAAGTCTATATCTAAATATCAATTATTGCTTCATTGGAAGAGATTTGAAAATATATGATCTTTTATACTCTACCCAGTTGTAGCAGGCGAAACAGAACTCATACTGACGTGCGTTGTACCGATACCCGAATTAGGTCAGAAATGCCTCGAAGCAGCATCCACACTTGAATATGAATCCTTAAACAGCTGCATCACTGTTTACAGCGTTTGAATCATGAAGATATTTTATGTAATGCTTCCAAACACCTGTACCCGTAATAAAAGACGAAAAAATTGTGAAGGATCAAGATGGCGGTCTCAAAGTGCCCTTGCTCGACCTTTACCAATGCCATGTTTAAATAGATGCCAAGATCTCATTGGTTTTTAAGCATCAACTCATAGTACCTTCAACCTTACTGGCTCTTGCAACAAACATCCCAACATACAAAGCCACAAAGATACAAAGCCACAAAGATACATACGCTTACACCACTGACATATGAGCTATTTTTTCAAAATAGCTCAAAAATGATTGTGTTTGAATATTTAAAATTTCATGCCAAACAAGATGCTGTGAATGCCATTTTAGAGAATGATGATTGCATTGTCCCAGTGCCAACTGGTGGTAGGAAAGACTGAGTATTATGAAGTTCTTGGGATCATTCTACCCAGATTCAACATTGTTGTTCCTGTGATTGCTTATACATGGTTCCTTTCTTGGCAAACCTGTGGTAGCATAAAATTCCCCTCAAAAGTCTCCTGAAGGGGTAGTTTTTGACCTGCTTTGGAGTTGCAGAGGAATACAAGATCATCTAATAATAAATTGACACAGAATTACCTTGAAATGCAAAAAACGTTAAGATAAGTATAGATGGTTCTGCATAACTACTAACCCCCAACCCCCTTCCTAGAAATTTTAACTACAAAATCATAATCAAGATACAAGCATTGAATGGAAAGAACAGTAAAAACAGGCCCCTGGACAAACTGGAAGAATATGCAGTAAAAATCACTACACTACGCTATTAGTAGGCTAATGTCAGGTCTATTAACAGTGTCAAGCAATGAAAAATGCCAGCTGTTTTATGTACTAACCAGAAGCTCAGCCATGCAAAACCCTCACCCCTTTCCATTGCTTCCACCTCACCCAGAGAAATAGAAAATATTGCTCCTACTCCTTAAATTAGTGTCACTGGACATTGAATTGATGTATGTTTTATGAACTTCTGCCAAGATTATTGAACTGAGATGTGGTCAGGTCATTGAACTATGGTCAGCAAAAGAGAAAACCTGCACCTGCACCCCTAATCCAACTTAAAATCGACCTACCTGTCTTGCCCAAAGTAATAAAGTACTTTGAATTAAGAGATGGGGGGTTGCGCAGGCTAATGCGGGGACTTAACTGAAGCCCTGTCCACAATGATCACGTGTTCACACATCGCGCACGTCTCGCGCTACACTCCGGCGTTGCGTTTGCCTCGTTTTTTATACATTTTGTAAGTACAAACAAAAAGACAGACCGGCGACTAATCCACGAAAATTTGAAATGAAAATATAAAACGATTTGTTAAAAGCTAGTTTTACATCTCCCAGAAGGATTGCCATTGGAATGAGATTTTTAATTGTAATTGATAGAAGCCCTCAGCAAACGCCATCATTGGGCATGATAGAGCGATTGAGTGTCTAGCAATCGACAAAATCACAATCCAAATTACTGGCAGGAAAGCGTTCTTGTTACTATGCCTGTTAGCATTAATACCTTTATATATGTAATAATTGCCGTTTCTGTTTGACAAGATAAAGCTAATGAAGTAAAAGTTAGGCCTTTTCTGTTTTTGAAATACTTTATTAATTTTTAATAATTGAGGCTCAAGCAAACTTTTTGCCTAGAACTATCTCAATTATCTAGCTGCAGCCTCAATATGAATTCTTCCTTAGTAACAGACTTGTTTGCTGACTCAGCGCACGTAGACTACCAAGACATCTGCCTCCAAGACATTTTCTGAAATAAAAGGTTTAAACAGCGAGAACATAGTTGAGACCCGAAAGGTAGCCTGTTCCAGACGTTCAGTTAGTAGAGCGCGGCGTTCAAGATCGTATGGAGCGATTGTACTCGTGGAAAAGGAGACGAAAAAACTGTTCTTTTTTCCTCGTCAATTGTTCGCCCTCGCACTACCATCTGAACTCTGAAACAGTTTTTCTGAAAGGCTTTTTGCGGTACAAGAGTAACCTCGAGGCTGACAAGTTGTATGGCCATTTCCAAGTTTCAAACACTCTCACATTCAAACTCGGGTTAAAGGTGTGGATTGTATCTCGTGGCGGAGCCTCCCCGTGTTGAGACCCCTCCGTGTTGAGACCCCTGGTAGGCCTTTCCCGATTGTACTCGTAAAATGCTGGAAAGTCGCTCACTGGAATGCCAAAAAGTTGCTACCTAAATTTCAAAAGTTGCAACAAGAAATTTCTTGATATTTTTATATAAAAGTTAATTAAAAGCTTTCTTTTTCGTTCTTCATAACAATTACTAACATCGGTCAAGAAAAAAAAAATATTAAAAAAATTGAAGTTTTGTATGAAATCGTTGACTTTGTCGTACTTGATATGTGCTCTAAACCTATACTTTGCTCAAAAGTTGCTCAGAATGGCAAAATTCGCTCGAGGTTGCTAGAATCGCAAAAAGTTGTTCAAAAGTTGCCTAGCACAATCGGGAGAGGTCTACCCCCGGGTGTAATTACTAGTGGTAAGCAAAAGGCCGAAAAAAAGGGTGTAGAGAATGAGTATATCTTGATTCAGACGCGAAACGTTGATTAGTGTTCCTTTTAAGGCTGTTACTCACTTTTCTTGTTCCAGTTTGTAAAAACCGGAAGCTTGCTGTACAGTATGGCGTTCGTCTTCTTGTAATGCGTCTCCCAAGAGCAGTGATGCGTTTCAGTTATCACCATCCATCCTGCATCTTGAGGACATCCACCATAATTCCGGTTAATAAAGAAGCGACGCTTAGTTAGCTCATTGTCAGCTCCAGGGATGGAAAAGAAGTTCTGAGGCTCAGTCTGAATATCAAACCAGGAGCTCTGAGTCAGAGCCGAGCGAGAGAACCATTTGCTGGCGTTTGATTTTGTAGCGTTGAATTTCAACTCCTTTTTCAGATTTCCGCCTTCATAGAGAGCAACTCTTGCCTTTTAAAATCACAAACAAATCAGTTAGTTATTCAACTTGATAAAATTGAGATTCGCGTGTGGTGCGGAACGCGTTTTTGTACATTTCCTCTTTTACATGGTGAAAACCTGTCCCGTGTAGAGGTACATCCTTGCAGCCGAGTCAACTTTAGCGAGCGTTTGAGAAAAAAGCAGTTCCAAGTGTGTTATTCAAATGTTTGGGGGAAAAGCCTAAACAAATTACCTCGGATGGGTCAAATTGTTCCCAGTTTAAAACTATTCTGTTCTTGTAATGTTTGGGGTGTTTCGTTCCTTCATCGACGAAGCGTAGCGCGACAATATTGGATCGATTTGCACAACTCTTCCAACATTGTTGGGCCACGCACGCGCCAAGATGGCTTTTGCATTCAAGTTAACAAAGTCTTATATGGGTTGTATGCAAGATGCACTGAAGGTGGGATTGGTTGCATCCGTTTGCATAGTACACCACTGCCAACACGGACGCAATAACTCCAAACATTACATTGTAAGCCCAACAATGCGTTTGGGAGTTGTTGCGTCCTTTTGCACGTGGCTTAAGTGATTCGTAGCTAGTTGCAAGTGCATTGTTCGAATGGGTGAAGGAAAAGCTTATGAAAGAAAGTACCTCGCATGGCTTAAATTTTTTCCAGTTTGAAACTATCCTGTTTTTGTAGTGATGGTGGGAAGTGTTGGTGACATCAAGAGCCTCCTCCTTATTCTCGCTGGAAGTTTGACGAGAGTAGTAAAGTTTTGTAAACATCTTCCTTTACTCCGGCTACCGCCTTAAACACCATTGTCCAGCCTGTAAAAAAGAAAGCGGAAATGGGAATCAATGTTAGGTCGGATGACAGAATGTGATGTTATTCTTTATGGGTCAGTCAATTCCAAGCCTCCGCGTCCTCCTCCCTCGGGAAGGGGGGTGGGGGCGCTGGGGGTGCATTTGTCGGGCATTTTTCGGATAAGCTGCAAATGCCCCACAGTGAGGCTTGGCGGTTCATACAAAAACAGAAAACAACATGTATTTGGTAATTGAAACGATTGAAAAAAAATTAAAACAACGGTATCTCGCCTCCGTTTTCCATATCGCAGTAAACTTGGAAAGCCTCGTCTTCACCTGTAAAAAAAGAATACTTGAAAATCAACTTTAACCCTTTACGGCCCTACGAGTGATGAGCATCAAATTTCTCCTTGTAATATCACTGCTTTGTAAAACAGAGTGGTCATGAGAATTAAGGACATGAGCACACTAGATGAATCTAATTGATACTTCAACAAATTCTCCCCACTACTTCTATTGAAAACGTATAGGGATAACAAATTAAAATTTGAATTTTGATGTTAGGGTTTAAAGGGTTAATCAGGTTTGTTTCAATGAAACGCAAAGGACTAAGTGAATGAAACCCTTCTGAAAGGGCGCTTTATACCAAAAGTCATATTCTTATAGTAAGCCAACTAAAACTGTAGCATTCCTCACGAAAAAAAGATGGGCTTTTTTCGAAAGTTGGCGCGAAAGTTCCGTGCAAGCTTGTTATAGGAATATTGTTCTGGCAAGCATTAATTCTCAAAAGTGACATGAATATATAAAACTTGTGACCATGTCGATTCGTAGCTTTGTCGCCCCATTTGAGGAAAGCCCGACTCCGGACTCCGGAATTCGGGATTCCCAGGATTTCGGATTCCACAAGCAAACTGAAAGCTTCCGAAGCTTTGAGTTTGCTTGTGGAATCCGAACTCCTGGACTTTGGAATTTGGAATGCAGCTTTAGAAATCTAGAATCCCACTTAAGATTTGAATGAGGAATCCACTCAGAAAGATCAGGAATCCAACACCTGCAATCCGGAATCCATTGCATAAAATCCAGAATCGAATCTAACATTGCTTGGATTCCCTTACATGATCGGAGGCAAACTTTGTGTCATTGAACAAAACATATCGTCTTATCAATAAAATAGCTATCTGTGCATTTGCGATAACAGACTCATTATAATCCAATTTCATAGTTAATCAAAGCTTAAAACAGGGCATGTTCGTTCGGTCATATTTAGTAAAATCCAACTAGTGGTCTATTATCAAAGCTGCATTCTGATTGGTTGAGCTACTACTAGGCTATATGTTATAGCCGACAAGTAGCGAAAAGCACCGGATTTTTGGCAGCAAAAAAAGGATTAAAGTCTTGCTTTAACTAGCTTAAGTTGTTTTCTCTCGATATTTTTGACCAACTAGTTGGATTTTACTAAAACAATTATTCCTCTCCCCCTCGTAGCCTCTGAGTCAATAGGCCTCATGGGCTATTGACTCATAACCCATTCGAGGAATAATTGTTAAACATATATATTCGTTCGTCATAAGTCAAACTTTGTCAGTGCATGTTCCGAATCCCTGACAGTTCAAATGGCTTCCCGTCTCGGTTGCGAGACAGTTGCAGACGAAGGATAGAGTTTTCTTTATATACCTCTATTTAGCAAGTGTTGTGTTGTGGCTTAATTAATAGGGGTTTTTACGGTACTAGCTAGGTCCTGAACTTAAATCCCAGCTTAAAACCTGAGTAATACCCTCTAGTTTGATCCAGTAGATCCCATTTGCGCTTTCTTCTCCTTTGTGATTCTTAATATCTTTGCAGGAAGAACCCGGTTGAGACTCGTCCCCATACTCTTCGTATAGATTCCATCCACTTTCGGTACAGACAAATAGTTTCCCATTGTCCAACTTAAGTTGGCCTTTTCGATCTGCTCGGCAAACGCAATTGACGTCCTGGTCGCAATCAGCGAGATACAACGCATTTGCCACGCTGGCAGTAAAAACGACACCCAATAAGAGCATGTGCTTCATGTTTCTGCTGAGAAAGAAGCAAATTTAGGCCCAGGAAGGCAGAGGGGTAAGTCTTAAATATTGTTTTATCGGGAGCCACAATCGGAGTAGGAGACCGCAAGAGCGGGATACACGCGGTTCATACGTGCCAGTCAGAAACCGTCCCGCTGATTGCCTCTTTTTAGATTGTCGTTAAACAATAATCGCTTACCAAGTCTGCTTTAAAGCACTTACTGTTTAACCATTTGGTTAACGACATCCAATCAAAACGAGGCAGTTAGCAGGACGGTTTCTGACTAGTACGTATGAATCTTGCTACGCATTTTGACCGTTCAAAAACTGTGGGATTTTAATTTTCTTCGAGGACTAGCTCCGCTAGGTACGAGAAGAAGCGTGAATCTTTTGATCTTTATCCTGCAAAGTTTGAAAGTGCAGCAATGCGATTTTCTTGGGGAAAATTGCTCTGGCGCTGGAGCCGTTGAAAAAATGGATTCCGCCCTTTCCCTTCACTAAACGGCGAACTCAAAATCCTTCAAAATCGACTTGATTTACATACATACTTAGCGATATGTCACAATAGGTCAAGCAAACGGTAAATCCAGTACATTTCCTATCAAATAACACAGATTGTGATGGTTCCTGGTGATGTTAAATAAACATTTTACTAGAAGTACGTTTGTCGCAAAAACCTCGCGAGGCTGTAATTGGCTAGCAGTAACAATAAAGGGAAATAAGTCAAGGGGAAAAATTTAATTAAAAACAAAACCAAAACAAATAAGAATTGTAGAAATACATCAAAATGTTCAAACTCAATTGGAACTACAAGCGCTTGATCAGAAAAACGCCTTGCCAAGACTTCCACAGTTAAGTAAAAACTGAGAACAATCGACAACGAAAGGTAGTTTGACATACTTTGTCAGCACATTTAAATACCAGGAAAAAAACGAAACGATAACTATCAGTGGTGAAACAGTAGGCCTTTCTTATGACACACTTGTATCCAAAATACAACAAAGGCACACTATTTTCGTTCAATTTCCCACAGCCGAGCAAAGCATTGACTAAGCTCCGAAACGGGACATTTTAAAATTCAGCCAGCCGACACGGGACTCCCCCACGGGGCCCTCACCGGCAGGGTTTCTGCTATGGCTTGTGAAAAAAAACCCTATAATCCTGGACAAAAGTCCTTGGACAGTACTACAATCTTGATATTTTTCTGTCATATCTCGGTTCCCTCTTAAAACAGTGCATCCTTTTCAAAATTTTCTTGCAGTTCTCCCTCCCCCCACCCTATACAAAGTTGAAACTCGGAAAAATTCTGGATACACGCGTCCAACATTGTGTGTGGGGTGAGGGGAGGGGTTGGACCTGTGTGAATTGGAAAACGCTCCAGAAATGCAAAAGTGTCCCAAGACTTTTGTCCGTGATTGTAGATAAAAGGTATAGGGTGTTTTCACATGACGTCATGTGGGTCATATTGGTGTTTCAAAACAATGAAACGGCGGCCACGTTGGTGTCCCAAACAATGAAACAGCTGCCATTTTTTGGTATTCCAAACAAATCCTGTGGGAGTTAAACTCTTTTCTTATGCATTAAAAAACTCTTTCTTTTGTTGCAATAAATTTGCATAGATGCTGGCCACGTGAGTGAAAACGCTCTATGGAAGATAGAAGGGAAGCCAACGAGAACGCAAAAAAAGACAATAGTTTTAATCAGCAAAGCAACAACTTTGCACGGGCATCACGCTTTGTGCATTTCTTTGCCGTCACTACACGTCTACTAGGTGAAAGCGCATAATTTCACGTTTTACGACGACGAAAGTTTCTTTCTCATTCTGGACTTGGATATATGTGGTCCTTCAGATAAGAATTCCAACTCCGGGAGGGTTCGCCTACATTTAACAAAGTAAGTGAGTTATAATAATCGAGATGAAGACTGAAAGAAGGCAAATCCATTTTTTATGCGACGTTTGCGCTACTTCTTGTACATGTTCTTACAACAAAATGGTGAGATAACTAAGTTTCTGAAATATAGGGTTAGTTCTTTGGGATAATAGACCCTTTCCACGGTTTTTTTTTTCGACTTTTGACATAGACAAACGTTTGTATGGAGGGGGCACAAACGTTCTCCTAACCATACAAACGTCTATAAATTTTCGCAGCTTTGCAGAGCTATATCTTCGCATTTTCGAATTCGGCAATTTTACTAATTTTAAGGCGTTCTTTCCGATGGTGTCGAGGGATTTTCCCTAACTGATCCATGCAAAAAGTTGAACCGTGGAAGAGTCTATTCGGGTTAGGACCAGTAATACGAGATCACTTGGATCGGGACAACGATTGGGCGACATCATTTACATTTGTCGGAACGCTTTAAAGAACGAGGTAACACAATAGGCACTTTTGTTATTCAATGATACGCAAAGAACTGGTCGGGTATTCTGAAATTTAGCCCAGTTGATTCATCGGTTCTTTTGATGTATCATGATCCGCGTGATGTCGGATCACTGATCCTGATCCGAATCCTCCCCAAAAGTAAACCCCTATAAATTATCATCAAACTGCATTTGATCCGGAGAATAGAGAGCGGGAAATGATACGCCTACTTGCATAGACACTAATTATTGTTCAAGGACAATCCCAGGTGATCTTTAGGAAAAACCAGGGGGATGAGACATTTGGGACCGTATCGCATTTCCGAATATCTGCGAGTTAGTGACAAATGGGGCACCACAATTTTCTGTAAATTGATCTAAACGGCGGATTATAGATCTTCTAAATTGAATCAAAGGGAAAGCATATATCTGTAAATTGACACAATCTCGATAAGACATATACACTTTAGACTTTAACAAAATTCTCTTGGAATGTTTGTACATCCTGGTCGTAAATCGTCCATTTGCAAAACAGCGAGTGGACTATAAAATCCCTTTAAATTGTGACAAATGTTTCACCATAATTCTCTGTAAATTGACCCAACTAGGAGATCATAAATCTTTGTAAATTGATCAATCAAACGGGCACAAACAAACAAACGGGTAATTCTAATGTTCTTGCCGCAAACGGGGAACCATACAATCTCCGTAACTGAGCCCAAAAAAGGCACTATAAGATGGCTGTAAATTGACAAAAACAGGCCATTATCAGTGTGGATTTAGCCGCTAAGAATTAGAAACGATCAGTCGTCTGCAAATGTTGTATATCCAAATCGAAGATTCAATCAACACAAACAAGGCATTAAGACCCAATATTCGGATTTAAACTAAGAAGTGGGGAATCAGGAACTTAAAATACTATTGAAATGCGAGTTAGTAAAATATGTACACGGCCGCTGCCGTTTTACCACGCAAAATTAATAATACTGTAAATGATCTAATAGAAACCCACTCTCAACAAATAAACCCCGCTTTTCTAATAAACGCCCCCCTTATGCATTTGAGCGTGTATTAGACGCTCCTCTCCAATAAACGCCCCTTGTCTTATAGACACTCCCCATGATCATCACATCAAAATGCTAGGAATTAGCAAAAAGGAGAAAAACCATGCTATTTATTCAGTTTCTTTTCTGAATAGCAAGAGTTTGCGCATTGCATCTTCTTCAATGTCAATTCAAAATAACGATTCTGATATCGAACGTTGAGGTTTATAAAAACACATTGATCTAAACGGCGTAGTGGACTATGGTCCGGCTGCTATTTAGATACTGTGGTGATATACTTTGTATTCGAAGAATAGTTTTGTGGAGTTTGGTATTAGAGTAAAAGCCTCTCCCTTTTAAATGCTCCTGCTTTGGCTCCGAAAATTAGATAGACGCCCCGGGCGTCTAATAGATCATTTGCTACCTATTTTTTTTTTGACTGAGTAGGAAATATCACTGTAGAAGGTTGCAACCAAACAAAAACGAATTGAATGAATAAAGAGCTGCGTGTGATAAAACCTCGAAATTCTCATTAACTAAGAACATTTCGTAACTTACCAACTTCGACCAAACTGAAGCAAATTTGCTCTGCCAAACAAAGAGGAGTTCACTGTTGTGAGATGCACGGACTGCTAACGCAATGAACGTCAGAGAAAATCTTAACCAGCAATATACTATGCGATCGCATGATCACTGACTTGATTAGACAGTGATCCCATCTCGGACAGTTTCAAATTTCTCGTTTGTAAAAGTGAGATTACTAATTCTTTTTCGAAAGAAGAAGTAAGTGAAACAGAGGTTGTAAAATAAAACTGTCTTGAATAAAATACCGTAATATAATAATTTTGATGGATCATGATCCGAGTGATCTCAAATCACTAATCCTAACCCGAATCATCCCAAAGGAACGCCCCCATAAATTATCTCCAAACTGCAATTGATCCTTACTCAGGGAGAATAGCGAGAGAGAAAATGATACGCCTACTTGCATAGACACTCTAGCTAATCATTGTTCAAGGACAATCCCACGTGAGCTTTAGGTAAAACCAGAGGGACAAGACATTCGGGACCGCATCGCATTTCCGAATATCTGCGAGTTAGTGACAAATGGGGCACCAAAAAATAATAAGATACCAGTCTCTAAATGTTGTATCCGCCAAATTAAGGATCGGATGTCGGAGAAGGCAACACTAAAAAAACTGGATTTAATAAAAGTGCGTAATTCTAAACTTCAACGGGAGACGTTTAAAACAGAAAATGTTACTAAAGCAACAAAAATTTTCCACGGGCAGGAGAACGGTTTACTTTCATATTTTGTTTCTGTTTCATCTATTTATTTTTTTTCCAAAAAAAAAGAAGTGATTGGAAATACTGTAAGTCTACAATGTCAAAAGACGCCCATTCACCATCAACTAAATCGATACAATTATGCAGCGCAAGTTCTCATTTCTGGGGACATTTAGAAAGTATCCAAATCGTAAGTGTTCAACCTTTTGATGTGACAGAGTGAATAATGCACCTGTAGAAGGATGTATCAAAAATAAGTTGAATAGATTTTTTTTTGGAATAAGGAGCTAAGTGAGTGCTGAATGTGATAACCCGAAATTCTTATAAAGTAGAACAATTTTTAACTTACCAACTTCTAACGAACTGAAAAATTTGCGCTGCCAAAAAGAAGAGTTCTGGACTACACAAACGTTCCCTGCTGTGGGATCCACGTACTGCTTACAAAATGAACGGTATAGGGAAACCATCAATATGCTACGCGATAGCATGATCGTTAAGCCATATGCGGTTGATTAGACGGTGATCTCATCACTCAGTTTCAAATTTCTGGCTCTCTAAACGGAGATCCTTTTTCCCAAAATGACCGAAGTAAGTGAAACTGGGGGCGTAAAACAAAACTGGTATAATTAAAAATAAAGATCGTTTGTAAACTTCGAATGAATTGAAACTAATTTGTCCTGCCAAAAAGAAAAGTTGTCGACTGCACAAAAGTTCACTGCTGCGGTATCAAACGAACTACAAATACAACAAGTGAACACCCACTGGCAAATTGAAACCATATACAGACAAGTACAAGTCCAAAATTTTACAGACCTGCTGCTTCAACCTGTTTTGATACAAGATATTTGTGTATCCGTTTCACATTTTAGTTGCCTTATTCTTTGGGTCAAAAGAAATTCGAATTCTGACAACACAGTGGCGGATCCAGACCTTCAGATAAGGGGGGGGGGGGGGCGGCCCCCTATCCCATTCCCTGCGATAAGGGGGGGGGGGGTCCCCAAATCTTTTTGTCCGTCCATTACCCCACTTTGGGCGCAAAGACACGGGGGGGGGGGGAGCGACCACCGCCCCCACCCCCCCCACCCCACACCACCCCCCCTTTGATAGCAACATGGTTCGACGGTCATGACTGTGCGCACAGCGCGACGTGTCAAGCGAGTGAGGTTAGGGGGTGTGGTGCGGGTCAGTACTAGTTGCGTCGGTGATGAGCGTGGGGGGTGGTGTTTTCTCTTCTGTTTTGTTGTCGCTCCGTGCGCGTGTGGAAGAAAAAAGGGGGGGGGGGGGGGGGCGGGGGCCCACCGGGCCCCTCCCCTAGATCCGCCACTGCAACAGTATAAAAAGCAAAGACATACCGGCTTTTAGACTTTAACAAAATCTGCTTAGAATGTTTGTACATCCTGGTCGTAGATCTTTTATTTGCAAAATTAACAACTCGTGGGTTAAAAAATCCCTGTAAATTGTGACAAATGGGTCACCATAATTATCTGTAAATTGACCCAAACGGCGGAACATAAATCTTTGTAAATTGATCAATTAAACGGCCATAGTGGTTTTATTCTTTACCACTATAACCTTTATTTTAAGAGGGTGACACCAATTACTATGATAAGTATTCTCCCTAGTGGCCCTATAAAAACAAAATTGATAATAATAAAATTACAACCATCATGATAAAAAGCCTATTTACAAATAGTGATTACAATAAAAGATATTAAGAATTCTAGTATTCTCCCTCCCTAGTGGCCCTCTAAAAACAAAATTGATGATAATAAAATTACAACAATCATGATAAAAAGCCTATTTACAAATAGTGATTATAATAAAAGATCTTAAAAATTCTAAAGATTTAAAAAATTGAGAGATGTTAAAAACGGTGAATACACTGGTAAAAAAGGGAATCCAATCTACAATGATATTTAAAAAAGCACGGATTTTTTAAAAATCAGGATAACTTTTTAACTTTAAAATTGTCCACCGTATAGTTTGAGGCGACGTTATTAATCAGTGTCTTCATTAAGCTAAAGGAGGTAAATTCCATTCTGATCTGAAAATTCTGCCACTTCATTGCTGTCTAAAGCCCACGCCACTTTTTTATTTCGATAATATACGTGGAATTCTTCCTACAATCCAAAAAAAATATCCCTTGCGCAAGAATATCAAGCTCAAAGGGTCAAGGAGTACTAGAGGGAAGAAAAGAAGGACCAATCCGGAATTCCGCCCTCCCTTCCCACAAACGTCATTTAAAAGTACATGAAATTTGTTAATATGTTCTTAATGAAGAGAAACATTTTGGACACGTCCTATTTTTGTTACAATAGATCGGCTAATACAGATAGGCCACAGTCGCATAAAACGTCATAAAGTTCCCCTACAGACAGGTAACGCTGATTTGCGATGTAACCAATCAAAGCATCAGCTGGGTTCAGTGTGCGTTCATCGAGAAAACGAATTTCTGGTGCAGTTAAACCCAGTTTCTCAGCAACAATCTTCCACTCGTCTCCTGTAACATAAGAAAAGGGGAAATAAAAGGAAAGTTACTCTAAATCTTTTTCTCTATCGGCGGCCCAATCTCTTCTCCTTTTTTAGGATTAATTTGCATCATTTGACTCTTCCAGTCGTTGCGCGTGGCTCTGAGGAAAGAAAGTCAAGACGAGCCTTCGCGGTCTATCCTAAAATGCGTGTGAACATACTTTAGAAGTTGTCCCCTTTCTGTGCTGGGAAAAAAATCCAGGACACCATGATTTTGCAGACAATCACTTTTCGTCATTTATTACAGCAGTGGTGTAAATTGATATCATTGGATATCGCCTTAATTGCCTTTTACCCAAATTCTGATTTACCCAATGGCTCAGTACTTCGTTAATATTAAGCAAGCATTGTGCGAAAAGAGCAATGTTTTTTTTTATAAGGTGCATGTAGAGTGGCTAAAAGTTCCTAGAAACAACAGACACGATGGAAATACTACTACTGAGACTTGTGAAGCTTTTTCAATCATACCACATAAGGCGATGGTGAGCTTTCTTCCCAAGGAGATAGGAATTCCTCGCACATCAAGATTTTCACATAACAAAGGACCTAGAAATAAATTAATAAACATAAACATTTCAACCTATCCATAGTTTGAAAGTATATAGACAGATACACACACCGCCCAGTATAAGTGACTGAAGAAACCTGCAAGACTTCACACTTATCTTGAAGGTGAGATCAAAACAAAACCTATAATCGATACAGCAGGGAAGCCTGAAGATGCATTTGAACGCAGTTGTTTTCCAAGAGTCAAGAGTAAGAGAAATTCTACACGCACCTGTCGTTCCAGCCGGTGTCATTTCTCTTAGGCGATTAATGACATCAACTCTATTTGAAACCTCAGCTTTCCTTGCGAAACAGCGAATAAGTTGTTTAGTTTGGCAATCTGGCTTTTCAAGAGAGGATTGGTCCAACTGGAAACTTTCTTTTAACTGACAAATAACTTGCTCCGAATCACAAGATCCGGACGTAAGGGCTGTCGAGACTTCATCAGGGATGGCTATCGCCTTTTCTACATGTTCTAGGGAACAAAAATGGTGTTTTAATTGTCGTACCCTATAGCCCAGGCGTAGGATCAAAGCTGGGTGACTCTGTGCTCCCGGGATCTATTTTTGCGTGTATTAAGCACCCACAATGACAAGAGCAAGAAATTAAAATGACGGTCTTTCAAGTCGTGGGACCATCGGTAGGCTAAACACCTTATGTTTTCAGTGGATTGGATGATGAAAGCTAGGTAGAGTTAGAGTTTAACCTCAATGTGTACTTTTTTCGGGCCAAAACAATAAATTGTTGATAACCGTCATGTAACAGAGTTAATCACTTATAATTAACACTACAGAGTATTTGGAGACCATAAAATAAGGTTTGGGGCTCTAACTCATCGAAGGAAAAAACAAAAACAAAGCTAGGAAGGCCTACTCTGGGACCTAAAGTCGACTAGAGTAGACGTTAATCCTCTGAAAAGTAGTATAATTTAAGGACTAATGGGCTGATGGTTGTATGATAAGTTTAATTTTTTTTTTAACTTGTAATCAACAGACTAGACAATGTCATACTAATTTTACCAAAAAGAAGTGCAAGAACGAAAATTCAGTGTGAACTTAATTTTTCTACTCTTGTGCAGTTAAGACGAAGAAGAATAGTATGGGCTACTGTTTAGTTCCTGAGAGCAACCATGCACAGGAAAGTCTTCCATGTCAATTTTTTCGTCTTTTCTGCCATATTTGCAGCCCGGGATTTGTAGGACCACTGTTTGCTGAGAACCAGAAATTTTGCTACCATGGTAACGTGACGTAAAGACATCTCCTATCTATTTTTCAGTGCGATTTTCAGGGATAAAGCAACGTGAGATGTCAGTCAGTCTAGTGAAACGTGTATCATATTCAGCAATGTTAAGGACGATGAGATTATCTATTTGGAAAACCTATATTGCTCATGCCCATCTTACGAAACATATCATTTTTTCTGGATAAAACGCTTAACATGTGCCTTAAAGGATATTCATTCCTTTTGTTTTCATCAACAGCTACTTGCTTAGGCCTACCTTCATTACCCGCAAAAAGCCTTTCATCGGGTTTTCCAGCTTCGAGCTGTGAGAAAACAGATTTGAGAGTTGAGAAGTGAACGAACAATACTTAATGAAACCGGCCTTGGGTCAAGGTGTATTTAACACTTTGATCTTCCGTTTCCTTAATAATGAAACCTTCATGGGTTGCAATACAAAATGTTTGTCAATAACTTCGCCGAGGCTGTTCACGTAAAGCAGTGACTTTGAGATTGCACCAAATGGCCGCCTGTTTTTGGATTCGCCATCTTGAATGCATTATGTGCAATCACTACTGAAGTCTAATATTAATTATCTAACGTTATAAACTCCATTCAAGACGTTGAAGCTTTGCTTTCAGTAAAAAAAATTGAACTGGTTGGTTGCCATGTTAAAAATGCATGGTCTAAGTCAGAGAGAGGTCACGTTCCGCCCCAAGCGGGGTGGATGGGTTGGAAGCTGCTATGGGTACCTTAGTCCTTAGGGTGTTCCAATATTCTTAATTCATCAGTTGACATTTTCAACGTAATAATATCTTAACATCTTACCAGTTGTTCTTTAAAGGGAAGCCAAGGTACAAACTGCATGACCAGAACTCTGGTATTGTTAGCTAACGCAGATCTGGTACAAAAGACGCCTTGCTTGGAACGGTACAACTCGGTAAGGGACAGGAAGTGCAGGCATTGCTCTTCTTCGCAACCTTCTTTCTGATGTGTTCGACAGTAGGCAACCGATCTTCTCTTGCAGCAAACTGGACATAAAACACTCATTTCATATTTCATATTTTTTAACCAACAAAACTCGTTACGCATGCATTCAAACATCAGACCCAATTGCTTTTTCACAGCATAACAACAGTTAATCCCAGTGGTGTCTTGTTGACAATGTAGAGATGGTGACATCTTTGATGACGCATCCTCAGACAATTCTAGCTTGTGACTTCCTCTGTGCATTACAATCTCGACTGTTGACGAGTTGCAAATCAAAATAACGGAGTAGTCATCTTCAGTGGTGAAAAACCTGGCAAAGCCATTGAACAAATGAGGGTTGTCATCTCTCCACAATTTGTCTTTGCCCCACTGAAATAACTGCAGTACTAGCCGCGGGAAAAGCCCTGCAGGGACTAAACCACTCTTGAATTTGATAAACAAAGGAGGAAACTTTGCAGAGGCAGCCAACTCAGTAATCCTCTTCGGTGGGGGCGACTTTAACATTGAAGGGACTAAGTAGCTCTTGTTGCTTGTTGTATCAAATGGCCAGGAGCACAACAGGCAAAATTTCTCCATGATTTCAATGAGAGGGGCACACGTTTCTTTGTCGTTAAACAAAGGACCCCAAACATGTGCTAGGAGATCTTCATCCAAAATTCCTTTGCTCTCAAGCTTAAGCCATGAATCCAAGAATTTCTCTTCATTAGCATCATATGGCTTGACAGTGATCACCTTTTTAAAAACGTCAATTAGCCACTGGGGATTTAATATTATGATTTTTTTCAGCTCGTCAGTGTGATCAAAATGGATTAAGCACCTTAGGTCATGCAGGTAGTTCATCAAGGTCTTGAACTCGTTCTCTTCGTTGACTTTGCAGACCTTCGAGGCGATATCTTTTGCCGCTTCCAGCCTTTACGTAAATATAGGGAAAAAGAAGTGTCGAACTTCGCGGAAGAGTTTAGAGTTGGTGAAGTTACCTTACCAGCGGAACTACACGCCTTCAAGAAATCGGAAAAGTTCATGATTCTGTCGCAAGCGTGTGACCTCTGGGCAGTCAGAGGATTTGACCCTCAGACTTGTGTTATCTACAAAGAATACATCACACAAATGGTCACCATAAGGTTTTTTCTTCAGATAACCAAAAATTTTACGAGATAATTTTCTAGGGTCTTGACCGCCGAATGGTTTATCAGCATGCGTGCATACCAGGAAAACGGCTGGAAGTTTCTTTGGCAACACATCTGACGAGCAACATTCTTCGTGGCTACAAGTTAACGAAGCCACAGACGTCATCCAGAAGTTGAGATAATCTATATTAGTTTTCAGATTTGCGCTGTCTGGTATTGCTTCGTATACACCTTGTTTCTCCAAAAGCTCAGCTTTGCCATATGGATCTAAGCTTAGGTCATACACCAACAGTAAATTGCTCGTGATGTCAGAAACAGTGGGTGTGTGTCATAATAAACCGACTGTCCTGCAAAATCCCAAAAATTAGAACACACGTCGTCTCTGTTGTCCTCCAAATCGCCACGAAGCAATGATTCAGTCACAGCTGCTACTTCTTCGAACTCGGGCATGATTTTAATAGATTCGTGAGTAACTGGTTCTGGATTTAATTTTGTTGAAGACGGTAATACGCCGAATTCGTGACTTCTAAGAGTGGGATTAGGTGCCTGAATGATGTCCGCATTTTTCGCAGGGTCATTTGGTGATGATTCATATGAGATTTCATTGCCGCCGGGTTCAAAACTGTCTTCTGCAATATGAAATTCCTCTGCACTTTTAGTTACCATTTCGGTCGGCTTTACGCTATCCACGATGTATCTGGCTGCAAGCTGACCATAGGAATTTGCTGTAGTTTCAGACGTTTGGTCCTCGCTGCTCTTTCCTGTTACCCACGGCTCTGTGGTCAGTTTAAAATAGGAAGGATCCACTTCTATGCCAACGGTGCTATCTTCTTGTGGGTCATAGCATATCCCTTTTAGCGACTTCATTAAACTGGTCTTTCCTGCTCGGTGTTGTCCAATGAGCATCAATGGAAACCTTCTGTCGGACGTTTTTCCATGAGTAAGAGCCTTTTTGTAAGCTTCCACGGCGGACGAACCCCGCGCAAGAATCTCTGGAGGAACTATAATGTAAGAACAAATGTTTCACAGCCTCAGTTTTCTAGTCCATAGGTGTTGCGTACGAAGATTCTCAACTCACTAATAAGATTTTTAACTTAACCTGACCATCCCCTAGTGTCATAAACTGTCGGTCATGATAACTAACTCACACCTATATTTCAAATTAATACCCCCCCCCCCCCCCCCCTCCCTTTCCCCTTTAACAAACAACCCCAACGATAAGAATGTTCGGATAAACACCTTAAAAAAAAAGCAAAATTCAATCTTTTAAATCAAAAAAAAAAAAAAAAAAACAAAAAAAAAAAAAAAAAAAAATAAATNTGTCATGAAACAAGAAGGCTTGCGCTTCCTTAACAAATTCTAGAAATTCAGGCAGCTTCTCAGTTATGGCCTCTGGTTCCCATAATCCGCTGCTAAGTAAAGTGTCCCACTCTTTGTAGCGCACATGGACGTCAGTCTATTAAACGGCAAAATAGAAAAAGAGTAGTTCACGTAAAAGCTTCACATCTAAATCTAACCATAGGGTGAGTGTAGATAATATCAAATGGTCAATGCACAAATGCATTTTGTTCAAGATTGTCTACCTATTTCTGTCCACAATGACCCAATCGCTTGATATTAACCAAGGTAAGGTTTTTGTACTGGGCCGACAAATGCTCAGTTATCGACTCGGACGGATATATGCTCTCGAGGAACGACACTTTTCGACAGCATAAAGCCTTTAGTAGAGCGAAAGTGGTTATATCTTGATGGTTCTGAAACCTTAAAAAGGTGACTTTACAGTTACCAAAAAGGTTTTTTATCTGCTCCGGCCGAAGACATTTAGTATCCTAGGAATACGTAACAACCTATCCGTTACGTAACCTGACATTTACATCGCTGATGAAGTTCGAGCGAATTCAGGGAAATTATAATTTTGCTTCAAAGTGTTGCTTTGAGTTTTGTAATTTGTATTCTATTAAAAAGTGACTTTAAAACAGGTCTAGCATACTGACCGTTTCTCTGATGACTTTATTTCCTATGCTCCATGTGTGTTCTTTAGAAAGGATGATGCTAAGGCCTGTACTAGCAGTGTACTCTGTTCGTTTAGAACGACGCCAATATATAACATGAAATTCGCCCCCCTTCGGAAGATGCAGTCCCATCGGCTCTTCATCCGTCAATGTCAACTCAGACAGGTAGGTCAACAGAGCATCTTGGATGTTTTCGTCTGGTGCATAGTCCATGTCCTGAGTGCTATCTGTGAATAGAAAATACTACATTAAGGGTCTTGAAAGGATGAATTGATTACCCTCCTCATAGCAATTCCTATAGATAACAAACCTCGATAAAAAACGTGGCCTGGTGTGAAATATAAAAACGATAGGTAAATAGGAAATGGGTTAATGGAAAATTATTATCGGTAAGAAACTCATGCGGAGCGCTCGCCCAAGATTGAAAAACTTTACAACGGCCCCTTGTAGACTGCAGTAAAACTTATAATCAGCTCCAGCTTATAAAGGTGAACACCATTACGGACGAAAAAGCTCTGCTTGGTATCTTAAAAGGGTCTGTGACCCCAAAAGATGATAAAGTTTAGTTGCTCCTGAACATCTTAAGGTATTTCGTAAGAGTGCAAACACGCATTTAATTGTGTCGATGGTGTCTGGCATACACGTAAACAAATCTGCAGCAGATTGTAGTTGTTCCACAAAAAAAAAACGTATATAGGTCCTCAGTTGCTTAAGTTACGTCCAAGGAATATAGCTTGGAAAGATCCTTATACTAGTTCCCAACCGTGCAATCCAAGGAGGTCACCTCGCACAGTTTTAGCAACTGTTCTAGCCACACACCATGCCATTTAATCGAGGGTGCCTCGTTGAGAAGAAAACAATGTTCAAGGTGAGGACTCTAGCAATAAAGTTATTTCTACGACAAATGAAAGAGTTGGAGAGAATTAACACACGGGGCTCTGCCATTTAACTTAGCTTAAAGAAATGTTAGGTACTGTTTTAAAAAGCGACGGGTTACAACTACTAAGAGATGAAAAAGAGAATTGAAAGCGGAAATGCATACGGACTCTGCTGATTGTCTCTTGAAAGAGCCGTTTTAAAGTTGTCACGAGCCGGATGACAAGTATTTTGTATCGACATTATACCTTGACATAACGTCTCACTCTGCTTTTGTTTGCAAATTGTCATTTCAATTACATCACCATCTTCTTTAAGTATGTTCATAAAACAGTCAGTCAGCCAAAGCGATTGTTTGTGCTGCGTTTGTGTTAGTCTACTGTAGTATTGTTAGATCCATTTTTGAGTACGCCTCGCCAGTTTGGGCTGCGATCCCTTTATATCTGGACGAGTTAATTGAGTCTGTACAGCGGAAAGCTCTCAAAATAATATTTGGTCGGGTAGACCATACGGAAGCCTTGGTCTTGGCCGGCCTGGAGTCTCTTAGTGACAGGAGAGTAGGAGCTGCACGCCAAATGTCCCCCCTTAAGAACATCATCCCTCCTCCTGCCGCTACAACATGGTCATACCAGAAGAATTAATGACTTTTTAACTTATAAATTGTATGTAAATGGTTAATTGTATGTGACAATGACCTTCCCCAACAATTCAGTTGTTGCTGCAAGTGTCACCAAAGTTCTACAGAAAACAAACCCCCTTTTTAATGCCTACAGTCTCATTTTCAAGAGTTGGATATAGTCGCATGATTTTTACTTCGAGTTTAGTCTAACACCTCTACACCAGTTACTTATCCTACCTCTTCGTCCCCGAATGTGGAACCTGCAATCAAATTCACAACCTGGAAACAAGATGTCTGCCCTTAATGAATGAATTATGTTGTGAAATCTGATGTATGGACATTGATCATTCCCGAAATAGTGCCTAGTACATAACCTGCTTCAAATAAACAATCTTTTAAGTGTTTAAGTCAAATGAAGCATCTGTCCGATTATAATTTTTTGCCTCGGGTGGCGTAAAGTTTTAACTATTTACCACATTAAGTGTCATGGGCGCTGTCTCAGATCTTTTTTCCGTATCTCTGGATATACCTCATAGTAAAATTACCTCGGGAAAGTGCAGTCATGACTTTTGTGGGTGGGCAAGTTCTTGGCATCAATTTTGTGAGGTATTTGTTTCTTAAAATACACGTGGAGGTTTGTGTATCTATTCATAAAAAAAAAAAATTATATTACCAATTATTATACACGGACCTCAGGATGGTGAGCACGCGGACTTACCTTGCATCTCAATTGATACCAACATGGTGTCAGAAATGTTAAATCATATCTTGAAACATAACCTATCTCCTCAGGAAAAGTTTCCTTGTACTGTGTTCTTAATGCTCTTTCATTTGGCGTAACCCCTTCCAAATTAAAAGCTAGCTTCCAGTGTTTATTGTTAGGGTATTTTATCTTTTCTGTGGCCTCTCTAATGCTCCACCGTCCATCCCGAACATCCTCTGAAGGAAAAATGATAAAAAGCGGTCTGTGGATAAATGTTGACAACAAACATTCACAAGCCCCTACATAACACTACATAAAGTAATGAGGGCGAATTTAGCTGACGATTTATAGTAAAACTGAAAGAAACACTACCTCGATCTGGAACTTCAATTGTAACCTTTCCAAAGTGACACCACATGTCGGCCTTTGGCATCATCTCTTCAGCTATTTCCTGTTTGACCTTACGTAGAGATACCAAGACGTCCTTCATTAGTTGTTCTTTATAGCTTGGATGACCAGCGTCAGAACTGCATGGTTCCTAAGTGAGAAGAAGGAAGTAAGGTTTTTGCCTTGCTTATTTTTTAGCTTCGCTACGCAAACTCTGGGTGGAAAGCTTCAAAAACGTGACGTCAACCAAACAGTATGCAAGATGACATCGCCTTTGTTTATGCTGAAACTTTCAGCATAAACAAAACTTTCACTCCAAAGAAAGAATTGGGAGAGGCAACCAAGGAATGGAGAACAGAGGAAATTAATTACTCGTATGACACACCTGTGGTTCACATCGCTCGGCTGGTTTCAGTCGGTATTGTACGAGCGGTCCGGTTGGATGGCCATTTTTCAGCACCTGCTCCAGTTTCAGTTTTGGTACGTTGAGATTATAGTCATCGATGCAGCAACTGGTTTTCGTGTTTTTTCGTCCAACACCTCTCATTCTTGCTTAAGCCTTCAACATAAGCCAAAACACATACTGTAAACAAGAGCCCAAGATTGAGATGAAGTTCCCGGCCACTCTTAAATAGAAGTAAATTTCTGCATGCCCACTCCCCGCTTTCATTTCCCAGGCATCTCGTCATGAAAAGGTTCAAAGCGTATGACCTATAAGAAGCTTATTCCAAGCATTCAGATAGATGCGGGGACGACGCAAATAGAAGCGTAATAGGAAAATAAAGCGAGGATACTCCCCTGAAGAAATTTGAAAAATTGGATTGTCTGAGGTTGAATTTCGCGTGTTTCCTTTTCTCTCTGCTCGCCATTTTGCGCCAAGTTTTGTTTCCAAAGAGGTCCGTTAAGATGATTGACGGCAGCGAAAAACGCAATCGTCAGCTGGCTTTTGAACTTTAGAATTCGCATGTTTGTGAAGAGCGCAGTAAAAGTTTCCAGTCTACTATTGATGACGGATTGATGAATTCTGTGTATGTGTGTCCTCATTCTATATGACTTTTCTTTTCTAGTGCACCTCCCACCCCCCCACCCCACTTCCATGACTTTCTGCTGATAACAATGAACGGTTCCTATTTGTAGTTGTGAAGCACGATACATAGATCTATACTTAAAGATTTCATTCGAAGGAAAGAGAACTTTTACCCACCACTTTTTCTCCAATTAGCACTTTAGCATACTCCCTTTCTTCTTCTGTTCCTGAGATAATGTAAATTTCTAGATCTTCACGATCTAAGATTACTCTTGCTCCTGACTGAGCGGAAATGTGTCGGAGTTTAGCTGCCTCTTTTCCCTTCACTGAACCCTTGAATTTGTCTTCAACCTTTATTAGTTCCCGCCTTCTTCTTTTGGCACTATCCTGCACGAAAAAGATGCAGCAAATCATTCCACTCAATCTGCGCAACTCAGGCCATCTTCACCCTATAATGGATAGCTTTTGCGCCGGCCCGAAACACATACCGGATAAGGCTTTTGTTCACACGGTGCGATTTCTGTAACGAAGAGAAGCTGTGCATCTCGGTTAGGTGTTGATCACAATGTACCGGATAGCCTTTCTTCTCCGAACGAAAAGCTCCGGGGGGTACTCCTGGGAATTCTTGGGTGGGGGTGTGCCGCCCAGTTCTCCAAATCCTTACCCTATTTCAGACCCAAAAATGTCATTTTCCACACCCGTTTTCAGACCAGACCTCTAAAATCCATACCCGTTTTCAGACCTGGCTTTTAGGAAGAAATTATGTCATTATTTTTTAGATTAGAGCGCAAATAAACAAAATTCTTCAAATTCGTTTCGAATTCGCATATTTCTCTTTCTTTCTTAATCATTTGGAATTGAAAGGATAAATACGTTCATACACTCCCGTAGTTCCATCGAAAACCATACCCGATTCCAGACCCGAACTGGTGAATACCTGTTTTCAGGCCAAAAAGGCTCAAAAACCATACCCTTTCGGGCGGCACATACCTTTATGGCTTATATAAGAGAGTACCCCCCCCGGGGGGGAAGCTATGTATCCGGGAAGTATAGTGCGAACATAGCCTCAGTCTATGTGGCAGGTAAATAGATCATTTTCATAACATGAGGAGTCATATTGTGTCAAGTAGCGGAATTCATTTCCTTTTTTCTTTCATTTCTGATTTGAGTTTTTAGAATCAACGAAAAAAAATCGCTGAAGCATATTTCTTCTTTAATTAAAACGATTAACCACCATAAAAATGATCTTAAAACTATTTTTGGGTCCAGTAAGTAGTTACTACACTTAAGTTTGAAGGAACGTGATCCTATTTAATGATAATAATAATTTTTTCGGTCGATTATGGTCACAAAAATGGAATCTATATTATTTAAAACAGTGTTTAAAAATATCCGTTACAAAAGAAGGGCTTTATTCCAACCTCCAGCCCTCGATAGCTTTGCATGACTTAACAATGATCCTAAAATGCCCAGCATTTCTATTTCTTCAGTCAAGAAACCTTAGCTCATATTTTTAACCAGTCACAAAAACAAAAAATTAATAATCAAACGCCAAAGAAGGGAATAAAAATAATTAATTAAATAAACAAATCGATCTCAGTACACTAACTGGACTACTTGGTAATATTTTTATTTGCCATTCGTTTCTACAGAACATTTAGTCACTATAAATAAAAGGTCACTTGAGAATGCCAGTATGTTTAAAATATGTCTCCACGGATTTATATTAACAATCGAAGTCACTGAAGGTGGCATGACATTGCATAAAGTATACTTGCTGATGATAGGTCTAGTGCAGGCTCTTAAGTGTACTGTCAGAACTATTTCCTGTATTCATAACTATGGGTTTTTAAACACTTTACCACAATTCCTTTGATAAGCCTTTCAGCGTGTGCAGTTTGGTCTTCATCACCAAAGATTGTAAATCCGGCTTCCTCCTTGCTTTGGGAGAATATTGTTGTTCCAGTTGTCTCCATAATTTCATGCAGCTTGTGGCCACCCTTTCCAATAACATGACCTTTCAGACTCAATGGAACGTCTACGAATTTACTTCCTCCTTCTTCTTCTTCTTTACTTTCCTCCCGTAGACTATCGTAGGACAACCTGACAATTTTAATAGGACAAAGAAACCCACTGAGATACATATACTTTGTTAAATATGTAGAATTAGTGTAGAATGTTTAGCCGTGATTTATGTAGTCATGTGTGACAAGATGACAATATATAGTTGCCTGCCGTTGCACGTTCGATTTTCCAAAGTTAACCTTTTTCTCCGATTTTTTACTTCTTTTACTTGTAAACCCTTCCACTGCCGCTGGTTGTAACTGCATGTGCATTTGGTAAAATTTCAGATTAGCCATTGTGACGAAACTCAACTGGAAGCTTACGAGAGTGATCGCAGGAAGAGCGTCTACTGTATAACACAAATGTTCCTTCCTTTATCTGGTTGAATCAGTGTTAAATTCTTTAATTCAATTATAAATAGCATAGGGTGTTCGATTTTAATCTACAAATCCAAAGTTTACTATCAATAAACTTAAAACATCAAAGAAGTTTAAAATAAACAAATTATACATTCTACAGCATAATCTTTCTCCGCTACCTTCGACTGCAATCTAAATCAGCACTATTAAAACGACAAGTCAAAGCCCTACATTTACTCCTGGTGGTGACAATCGTTCACTGAGGGGACGAAAAGGGAAAACTGGAATGTTGTTTTACGTTATTCAAAAGCCTGCAGCTATTTAAAATCTGACACGACGAATTGAATGGATCTGGATTACTCGATGAATCGACTAAAACATAACTTAACTTACCTCTTCCGCCGTCTCTCATAGTCCTCGCTGGCCATGACTTTCTGATTTCTAAACGTGTTACACTTTAGCAATTAGTTTAGAACTGTTCTACATCTGAGACAAAACGATTAAGACGTGCAATAATAAAAAGAAAACACCAGAGAAAACAACATGAAGTACTTCCGGGATGCAAATTTATACCGAGCTGTCATCACTGTTCACAATCTCGTACCCAGAGTCTTCTGGCTTTTTGGTCAGCTGAAGCCAGAAGACTCTGGGTACGAGATTGCACTGTCCACGTCACTGAACTCTGTTTTCTGACTAGCAACGAAAGAAGAAGCCGTTTTAGTATTCCCTTTCAGTGTAGCTCTGGCCCTGAGGAAGGCTAATTTTGCTAGCCGAAATATTGGCCTTAAATAAATCAGCCCTTTGCCGTTTTACCAGCCTTGTATTCATTATTTGTTTTAATGTGCAACGGAACCTTCGTTAAACGCGAGGCAGCTTGTTCACAGTTTGTCGAAAACTCGCAACATCACACTGTTCCTGTATAAAGTGATTTGCCCATCACCCATGAGAATTTTTTTTTTTTAATTACTAGTAATATTCCTGAAGAGGGCAAATGTCACCAAACGTTAAACTAGCTTTCGGGACTAGCTTGATGATCCCAAAGCCAGTCCAGCACTTCCTGGGACGGACCATTAGAAACGTCATGGGGTGGGGGTGGGGGATGGGGAATTTTCAAGCGGCATGAACTTTTTTTGTTAACTTTTCTATGATCTTTTTAAATTCTCAGGCCAGGCCTTGAATATTTTTTAGAGTTACTTGGTGTGTATGAATTATTTAAATATATTTTTCCCTCTTTTTGTCGGCTTCGCCCTCTCCCCCCTTTTAATTTCATCTTTTCAAAGAGCATATAATAATAATAATAATAACAATAATAATAATAATAATAATAATAATAATAATAATAATAATAATAATAATAATAATAATAATAATAACCAGGGTAAACCCGTCAGCTGAAGCTGTTTTAAATAGGTGCCCTGGGCATCAGTCGGCTGCAACCTCGTCCCCAGGGTCTTCTCGTTTTCGAATATGGCAGCTGTAGGAGAGAATCCTGCGATATTGGAAAACGAGAAGACGCTGGGGACGAGGTTGGGGCGGCTGGTAAGACCGGTTTTAGCCTTCAAAAGTTATACCTGGTGCCGAGGCTAAGGGTTATAAAACAAATTGTGATCGCATTGAATTTATCATGAATTTGGGTTGTATTTTGTTAATTCGAAATTGGCTTATTAACTGACTGTTTACTATGGATATGAATTATGATAAAGAAAAAATTCAATTTTTGTTTTTAAAGCAGTGCGCTTGCTGGGTTGCTTCCAGGGGTGTCGCATTGAGAAAGGGACTTATTTCGTTAATTCTAAGCTATGTGTCTCTCGCCCCATAACTGGTCTTTTAGTGTAACTGTAAACTAGGAAACAATGCAGTGTTTCCGTTTGATAAGCGTCTTCTAGCCACGTAAATGATGAAGCGCATACTTGGAGTGACCCCTACGGAAAGTTTTTTTTTCATTATTGTAAGTTTTGTTCAAAATGTAAGGGGGATGGAGGAGGGAGGTTGAGGAGAGTAAGGGTTAAGTTTCTACAATTGCAGTCAACCTTGCTTTTTTTACTGTTTGCTTACAAAATCTGTTGCTGACTAGATCCATCAGAATACGGTACCTTTGATTTATAAGTTGTTCCCTGCTATTTATTAACAAGTTATCCTTCTCCATACCCGATCTACAGGAGCAGAAGCCTTTTGGAAGGAACAGCAAATTAAAAAATCGCTTCATATCCAGCAAGCTTCACAGGACCATAATAATTGTTGACTGCGCCTCGCTTTGGCGCACTGAGTCGTGAAAGCGACTCTTCCGGAAGTCAACCAGTTTACCGTTAACTGTTTCCACATGGTCCGCATAGTTCTAAAAATAACTTTTTTGAAATTTAGATATCCCGGCCAACACCCATAGACTTCCTTTCCGTCCTATTATGATCTCTTGATGGGACACAACTTAGGAACCAAGGATCCGTGAAAGCAAATTTTATTTAAAAAGTAATCGTAATTTAAGCCCTCGAGTAAAGAAAATGAAAATGAACAAAAAACGTTTAGTTAAAATCTCGTATTGTAATTGTTATTGACTCAAATCGACCTTTTTAACTTGGGATAGCACGTGTCCCTTAAGAGCAGACCCTCGTGTGGAAGCCCCGTAAAACGTGCGGTTTTATTTCTTATTTACCCTCGTTTATTTATCTACACTATGACTAGTGCTGATTGTGTGAAAAGGTTAAAAGATAAGAATGATTCACTGAAGTCTGAAATTCATATAATCTGACGGCGAAACTAGAATAATTTGGGTTGAAAGAAAAGATTCACAGTATCCTCTTAGATATCCTAAGAAATGAAACTTCTTATGTTGACACAGCGATGGTTAGTTCAAGGGCGAAGAAGTACTACTCTTAATAATTAAAAATCATTTTCCCCCTTTTTACTATTCTTTCTTTGACTTTGTACAGTGCTTTTCAACTGTTGCGCAGTCTGCGTATGTTACGTATTTCCCGTATTTTCTCGAACAATAGCCGTGGGCGATTATTATTTTTTCGCACAATAAGGGGGTGAATATTCGAAGGAGGCGATTATTTCAAATATTGCTCACTGGAAGTCGTACCCTTAATATTTTGTTTTATTATCCCATTAAAAAAGACGATCACATATGTCAATATCAATAACCCCGGCGTCGGAGCTTGATTTGTCACTGATCACTTTTGCTGGATCAGACTCTACTTTGACTCAGCAGGGAGGGGATAAAAAGAAAAAAGAGAAGAAGGCAAGAGGTGTGTGTGTGGAAGGGGGGGGGGGGGGGGGTGGAAGGGGGGGGGGGGGAGGCGATTATGGAGGCGATTAATCGAGGGACGGCTATTTTTCGAGGAAATACGGTACTTACGAACTTTAAGTTTCCTTTTTTCGTTCTTCTGTCTTGTGTTGTTTGTTTACCCATTTCAGACGGCGAGACGTTCTCAGAATATTTTTTTCGTTGCCTTATATCAAATATGCATTCATTTGAACGCGAATAGGGTTAAATTTGAAAAAAACGACACCGTTCCCTTGATGAAAATCAAGTGGTCTAAATCACTTAAACAAACAACCCTTGCTAAATAGGTCTGTGATGTATCGATAGTGCATACAATAAAAAGGAGTAGACCTGTGTAAAGCTTGGGGGTACTGTGGTATTACATACATAGAAATTCACATATTTAGCTCAATTTGTAATGACATTTTTGCTTTCTTCATCTTAAGTGAAAGTAGTTACATAAAACCTTCTGAAATACCTTCTACTTTCTAAATACATACAATTTTCTTTGAAAATACTACCATTCAGAGATGTTTTTTAATCATATCATTTAGAATCTTGATAATTATTGTAGTTTTTTGGTTTACTAGTCTCTGACAGTAGTCATGATCACAGCAACATCTCCTGGCAGTTCCTAAATAAATCAATATATACACATTAGCTTCACGTCATTCATTTCCATGCATGTTTAACTTGTGAATAGCCGAAGGTAATACAGTCTTCCCTGCAATTATTTCGGGACGTTGATAACTGACTGCTTAAAAGAAGGTGGCTTCTTAAAGCTTATGCTAATTTGTGAAGAGCTTCTATTGAGCGGCTAACTTCCATTAGGCAGCCTTGTCGGAACCCCGTGTATGGGACGTGGCTTAATTGAGGTTCAACTGTATAATAACTGAAAGGGGCCACAAAAGAAATATCGAAGCTTCTAAATTACAAAAGCTGAACCCCAAAGTCGCTATTTTTAGAAATTAAACTAGTGGATATGCGAAGTGTGTTTGGACAGGTGTATAATTTCACTCTTCTTTTGCTTTGCTTTGGTATGCTCTTTTCGAAAATAACATTACGACAGAAAATAAATCCGACTATGAATTTGCTTATACGGGCAGAAATGTACGGTCTCCTGGTATTTATGAAATAAATGAACTTGTGATAAATTGGTATGAGAAAGCAGCTCACTATGCCGCCATTCCTAGGGAATTCTTAGCTGTAAAAGAAAAAGATAAAACAAGAGACAGCACTATCAGTTCATCTAAATAGCAGTGAAGGTGAAAGCTCATCTTTCCTGCTACGAGAACAAATATATTGGACACTAACATGATAAGCAAAAGATTCTCTAAAACCCCCTTCTTTCATGAATACTCCAGAAGAGACAATAACCTGCATTTTAGCTTTGCATTATAAAGCTCCTCTAAGACAAAAA